AATAAAATTTTAAATAAAATATAATATAAAAATATAATAAATAATTATATTAAAAAATATAATATTAACAATTCAAGAAGGGATAATAATAACACCCTTAATTCATTAAAGATAATTAAAAGGTTTTCATTTTCCTCTTTGTTCTACATTATTGTCAAAAGTTTTTTTTTTTTTTTAAAATATATAGCCGTTGAAGCAGATCCTAAATTATTGTCACTTTGACCAAATCAAGATGACCCACAAAAGATCCACCGACACACGTGGCAAAAGAATCCACCATGGCCGGTGGCTCCAACTCCACTTTAGAAATTTTGCAGAAAATCATCAAAGAACACAAAAGATCCAACTTTGATCTTCATTCATACAATTCCCATGAAAAAAGAAAAAAAAAAAAAGGAAAAGAAAAAGAAAGTAGTTAAAAGAACAAGTCAAAGCACAAGTTAATTTGCACTTTTTTGCAGAACTCATTAATAAAGGAGACAAACAGAAAGGAAGAAAACGAACAAACAAAAAAAGAGGATTTCAGCCTTTTCCTCGCCTCTAAAAAGACCAATTTTTTTTGCATAAATCATACTAGTACTAGTAAATAAAGTGTCAATCCTAAAATATTACAATAAGGCCCCAAAGAAAGCAAAGAAAACTTGCTAAGTAACTAAATAAATCGGCAACGCAGAGGTGGAAACCCTGTGATGCTGTTCCTCCATGTTAAGTTCCTTGAGACTCAAATAAGGAATGGTCCTGGCAAAGTCCGGTGACAAAGTTCCGGCGAGGGGACCGGAGGTAGGGCGGCTGGTGGTCCGGTGAGGAGTGCTCGACCCACTTCTGCTCTCTGTTATGTAAATGGGTCCGGACAGGGAAGCCCGGGGAACTTTGGTCCTGGCATGATGCACATCCTCGTCAACGTCAAGATCGAGATTTCCACGGCGGGTAGCGCCGCCGTGAGGAACCCATCTCCGCTTCAAGAAATAGAGTGCATTCCTCCACCACCGCTTCTTCTTCGCCTTGTGGGTCTTCTTGGACTCGTCTTTTGAAATGGTTCTTTGGAGCTTGAAGTGCAGGGGATCCATGGATGCTCTTGATGTCTCTCGTTTGTGCTTCCTTGCTTCTTCCAACACCTGAAATTGAAAATGGGTCAATGGAAAAAACACAACAAATTAGAAAAAGGAAGAACATTTCAGAGAAAGAATTAGAAACCTGGAAATAATCAATTTGTGGGTCAAATCCATAGTCACTGAAATGTTGAGGCTCTGGCATGGGGAAAATAGGGGATTTGTTTGACATTTTCTTTCTTAACTGATCTCTGTTTTCTTTTGGGTTCTGTTTGTTTATAGGGAGGAGGGAAAGTGAGGAGGGAAAGTGAAGGAAAAAGAAGGAAAATGAAAAAGGAAAACTTCGGGGGTCAAGGACCTCAAGGTAGTGAGAATGGCCGTTGGTGTTAGATAGGGGAGTCAGTGGTAAGACCAAGACATTTTATAGGTAGAAAATAGTAAATACCTTGTATAAAGTAGAAAATGCGACGGCAGCATCTTTTAGACTTTCAAAGGAGTCTCCATTTTATTTTCACACGGGAATATACTTAATTACGCCTGGTTATTTGGTCACCTAATG